ATGTGCAATGCAATTTCTAGGGCAGGTCAACATTTTCTTCCTTATTTAAGAAAGTATTGAGGAAATGGCCCTATACATCCAAATGTTGTTCTGGAAACAAGAGTGAAAATCAAAAATAAAAATCTAAAACCAGGAAATTCTACACAGTTAAATCTTTCCCCTCCCCAGTGCCCCAAAATCTAAATTTACTGTCTTGTTTCTGTTGCTTTTAAATTGTCTAGGAGTACTTCTGCTCATCCAAAAGAATATCAGTACTTAGGGCCAGAACTTTATCTCACTTACACTGGTGTAAATCCAGAATACATCCATTGACTTCAGTCACTTTACACCAATGTAATAAAGATCAGACACTGGTCCCTGCTATCTAAGAAAAAAATGTCTTGCTGCTAATATTATCAGAAGAAAATATATTTACACAATCCAGGCAAAAATACATTCTGAAAATTTGTTAATTTATCAGTTTGTCATCTATCATAATTTCTAATGAGTACTTCAAATCATCAAGAAGTAGGATCTGTGCAAAACAGGTGAACATTTTCCCACATTTTACACAAAACATCTTGTCATCTGACTATGGGCAATTTTCTTTTCAAATTATGTTTTTCCATGAATTCAACAAAGTAGCTATACAAAATGAGAAAATATTCCACTTCTGAACTTCGCATTTTTAATTTGGTAATGGGCTCATTTTTACTTCACAAAGGGGCTTGTTTTCATGTGAGAATTCACAAAACACAGGTCATTTTTCAGCAAAACACACCCATTTTCAATGTATATAACAGGTATGTGAAAAACTGGCATTCTGAGCACTTTCTCGTTATGACTATTTCACACACCTCTAAATATGTGTTTACATTAGGGCTACAAATTGATGAAGCAAAAAATGTCACGCAGGACAGCTCAATACTGGCTGCTCCTAACCCAAGCCGGGTGGATTTGATGGTGCAGAGCAGCAGCCGTTTAAGATAGTGATGACACGTTATCATTATCTTAGGCCTTGGCTACACTTGGGAATTCACAGCGCTGCCGCGGCAGCGCTGTGAAGCGCGAGTGTAGTCGCGACGCCAGCGCTGCGAGAGCTCTCTCGCAGCGCTGCAAGTACTCCACCTCTCCGAGGGGAGTAGCTTGCAGCGCTGCGAGTGAGCGTGCAGCGCTGCAGGCGCTGATTACGCTGGCGCTTTACAGCGCTGCACTCGCTGCGCTCGGGGGGGCGTTTTCACACCCCTGAGCGCAGCAAGTTGCAGCGCTATACAGCGCCAGTGTAGCCAAGGCCTCATATGAGGAAAGCCTCTCCGATCTTCCGGGGATGATGCTACAGAATGAGGCTGTTCTCTGACTTCATCCTCATGTCCTGAAACTAAAGAGCCACCATGAAGAGAAGGTATGTGGAGGGGTTTCTACATGGCCAGGAGGGGAGAGGGATGGAGGGAGAATGATGTCATGTTGGCTCAGTCCTCTTCCTCCAGCAAAACTTTGGCCAAAGGAGCAGGTTTTCTTCTCCTTTCATTCCCATCCAGGGAAAAAAAACTGAGGGCAAGACATGGTCCTTAGTTAAATGTATTACATTATAAAAGGCCCCATTTGCACAGTTATAGGAACATAGAAACTGTTATAATGTTTTACTGACTCTGTGATGTTGGGATAAATCACATACCTGGGGCAAGATTACTGAACCTGGTACAGGAAGGTATATATTACACCTGGAGAGCTCTTGCCCACAAGAGAGGAGAGTTGCACCTCTGTGGAATGTTCCTCTTTCCCCCATCTCCATTGGAACCCCTTCACAAGGCTCCAGGATATGGATGGGGCAAGTTGGAGATGAAATGGCATGGATAGACAGTGATTCTCCCCCCTGCTGCAAACCCACAGGAGAAAACAACAATGGTTTATAAAGCCTGTTATTAACCTCCACTGGCTCATTCTTCCTTCCTATGGAACCCTGCAGTTGCATCCAATGACTACTTCAAAGTTCAGCTCCAATGGAAGCTTGCTGCCTGGGATCCAGCCCTTGCTACACAATGATTTGATTAGCAGCTAATGAGTTGTGTTAACTGGAGCTGCTGCATGATACATCCTTGTTGCATTACTAGCCTGAGCGTCAGCAGCACTGTGTTTCAACCTACCCTGACGGGCCAGCTAGCTTGAGTTTAAAGCACTGACTGCCTAGAGCTAGAGATTTTTGTGTGTGGATGGGGGTCAGGTTTGGGGCAATACTCAACTCATAGCTTGAGCTAACAATGCAGTATAGACAAGCCCATAGCAACAGCCATCGCAAAACAGGCCAATAGTCCATCTTGTTTCCTACAGTGGCCAGAACCAGATATTTCAGAGGAAGGCATAAAACCTCGATAATACCCTTAATTTTACGATACTTAATACCCTTGATTTTACAATACCACAATGTAGCTATGGTGTGCTTCACTGCAGATAGGCTGAAGGGTATTCCCACATAGTGCCTGGTCCCTTCTTCTTGATTATGACAAAAACTTTCACTCTTCGCTTGGTCCAATCCTGTGAGGAGCAGGGTGACTCCCAACAGGTGATGAGTGCTATCAACATCCACTGAAATCAACAGGAGCTGAGGATGCTTGGTAATTCCCACAAGGCACCTGGCACATTGCAGGATTAGGCCCTGATTGACCTCAATGGGAGTTTTGCCTGAGTAAGCTGCTGCAGGACTGAATCCACAGTGCCCAATACTGCAGGGTGTGCAATTGTTTAGATGACATGACCATAGTTTGCATCGACATGGAGAAATTTTACAGTCTGAATCCATCCATTAAAGATCAGTTGGCAGTGCCCATGAAGCAACTAAAATATCACCAGAAATATAATTATATACCTGTATTATAATAATATATGGAATGCAGAGGTAAAAATAAACGGATAACAGATTGCATCACGCACAGAGAAAAGTTCCTTACACTTGTCATTCATAAACCTTCGACAGAATTCTTGAAATGTTCCTCTGTAGCTCATGGTTCTTAGGGAGCGGTGAAACTGGTAATAGGACACTACCAAGTCTTTGGGGTTGCGAGCCATGTATATTACCTAGGAAAGTGAAAACAATCCATGTTATTAAAAGCATATTTCCTTCACTTCACAAACCGTGCAAGCACCAGCGGGTGGTACAGCTAATCGAACACCAATTCATTTTTACCTTGGAATCGCCGTTATGGAGGTCTGAAGGCAAAAACCGATATGGTAGGTGGCTTTTTATGAGGCGAGGAGATGTGAGCTCCTAAAAGAAAATGGAAGGAGAAAACATTTCTCACGGCATCTAAGTTGGCTGGCATTCCTTCCTAAATTGTCAAATGTAAAGGTCCTTACTATACTGCTTTACAGTCACAAACTCACTGCTAAAACTAATGAGATCGGCAACATGCTATTGTAGACAGTCCCATCATACCATTCCCTCCATAACATATTTAAAAACATAACAAAGCACAATAAAACATTACAATAAAATTCTGAATCATTAAAACAAATTAAGCAGGTCAAGTGACAAAAAGGACAAAAAAATGGGATGGAAGGGAATGGTAATAAATATGGGGATTAAAAAAAAGCACCCGAATGCTGAAAGACTTTCAGTGAAGTCAATTGTACCTTGATGATGTCCAGACCAGGCTGAGGATACTCTAGGACTGGAAGCTGTTCATCTATATTCATTAATCCAATCTCATCAGGGTCAGCTCCCTGACTCACTAGATATACCACTTCCTGTAGCAAGCCTGTGCCTCCAAAGATAAATCAAATAACAAAAGAGACAAGATTGTATTATAAACCTTATTTAAACAGAAACATCTGAAAGGAAAGACCTACACATACAAATAATAACTATGTCCTTAAAAGTTTTCTGAAAACTAATACAGAATCTAGAGCTACTGTAAGTGCTAATAATATTGGATCTATCCCTCCAGCTGTGTTTTAAACATAAGATCTTCTTCCTTGTAAAATGTCCAAGTTATTTCACTGAGTTATTTAAATACAAATATTTAAATATAAATAGTGTTCCCAGCATCTTTAATCTCATAGCATTTTACCCACATTAGTCAAAATTCACAGCATAAATGTGAGGTAGGTAAATATTATCATATCCATTTTAGAAATGAAGAATTGAGGTACACAGAGGTTGTCCAGGGTCACACATGAGCAGCAGTAATGGGAACCGACCTCAGGATAATAGACACCCTTTTCAGTTCTAAATATTAGGCAACACGACCGCTTTGTATGCACACTGAGGTCTTATGTAGAGTAGAGTTTTTGATCTTGTTGTAACTTGAGAATTTATTGATTGTCAGTTAACTCATATTAACTATACAGGAATAACTTGTACCTGGACACAAAGGTTTGTTGCTGGTGATGTTTCACCCCAGTCAATTAATTTTGAGTACAATAGGACCAAAAACTCTAATCTAGACAAGGGTTGAAAGCATTGGCCCCTCCTCTTTCAGTTCTAATGTCAAAGAGCGTCTTCTCTGCAATGGTGGCTGAAAATATGCAGAACTGGACGCCCTTAAACCTTATCTTCTGGTTGGAAACCCAGTGCAATGTTCTATCAAATGGAATGGAACCTGTCATTTCCAACATAGCAGGAAACTTAGTGAATTCTCAATTAGGATTTTTTAATCCCAAATTAGGTGGAAAAAAACTCAACCTCATCACTGCTGCACTTAAAGAGGTTGTTCAGTAAATGCATGAATGCAGGTGGTAAGCACATTTCTGGGAGTTGCTTTCCAGAATGAGTCCTATAAATGTTACGACTGATGAGACCCATTTCACCTATTTACCTGCCAGCTGAGTTCAGGGTAATTAGAATGACTTGGAAGAAGCTCCTTTATATTATGAACACCTATGTCAGTGACCAGTCTCGTGCTCCATTTACATCGTCCCTTCAAACTCTTCACTCCACTCTGCATTCTAAAGCACAGCAGATATTTTTATGCATTAAAATTAACATACATATGGCACTTCGGTATTAGTCCTTGTTACTCCATGAGCACTACACTTTCCCTTATTAAACATTTATGACACGAGACATCTTGATTCTCTATAATTTATTTCTGCTTTCTAAATTCCACTTGCAAAGAAAGATGCTGTTACAGCAACCTCAGTCCATAAGAAGAAAATGTATACCTGTTCCGGGATCAACATTAGCAGTAGAGCTTTGTAAACGACTGTCGTCTCCATGCAAACAAGAAGTCACATTCATAATACTCATGTGAATTTGGATTGGTGGGGTTAGTGGCAGGGACGGATGGAAGCTTGAACTCTGCAGCATGCTCCCTGTTGACCTTGTGGTTAACCAATCAGATAACTAAGGAGAGATAACTCTCATATGGTACCCTCTGTGGCTGCTGTTGTATAGCCACTCCTGAAGAAGCCAGGCTGCTAGGGGAGAAGATGACCAGCAAACCACTCAGCCACCATGGCACTCTAGAGTTCTATATAGATCTTGGACCATCCACTGGTGTAGGAGGTTATGTTTCCTGCCTGTTCCCTGATGGGGTGGGTCAGCAAGCCACATTCTCCCATGGAACAAAGAAAAGGGAAATTGGAGTTTTAAAAAAATCAATGTTTCTGCCCCATATATTATATGCGGGTTTTCCCTCCACATAGGAGAAAATATGTTCTTAGCAACTCACATGTCCTCAAATTGTCTACTAGGCTTCTGCAAGAAATGTATGAGAAGTAGTAAGCTGTTTAGAGAGATTATTCTGGATACCACAGGGAGGGAAGTCTGGTGATTGTGTGCAGTGCAGACACTCAACAGTGCTTAGGCTAACTCATAAAAGTGAGAGGATGGATCAAATGTCCTTTTCTTAGAAGACCAGTTGAAATTGGTGAATTTCAATAATAATAATCAGCACTTCTGGAGTGCTATACAACTTCACACCACCCTTCACACACCAACTGTCCTCGTGACATACCTATCCCTGTCTTACAGATGAAAAAATGGAGACAGAGAGGTCAAGTAGTTTGCCTCCAGCTAAGCGTAGAACTCAGAAGTCCCTGGCCACCAGGCTTACATTCAGGACATTGAACCATGCTTCTTCCAGTCATGAACATTCTGCTGTTTTTCATCTGACTTTTCTAGGTGCTGGGCCTGAGTCTCATTCACACTAAGACTCATTTACACTGCTCTGGGCTTTCAGGACCTCAGTATTAATGAGAATTAGGTCCCTTTTATTTAAGGGAAAACTTGCTGAGGTCTTCCTCTCCCTTAGCCCTAATCCAGCACTACCTCTCCTCACCCAACACCCTCATGCATGGATACACTTATACATGCTTTATTCTGTGTTTGGTGTGGTTGTTTGTGGAGTTAAAAAAAATATTAAGGGCAATTACCTCAATACAAATATTTATTTAAAAACAAAAACATCCTTACATTTTTAGAATTTATTTTTAAACAAAACCTAAAATGATGGATTTAAACAAAGTTGACAGCGCACCTTTAAATACAATAGAACCTCAGAGTTACGAACACTTCGTGAATGGAGGCTGTTTCTAACTTTGAAATGTTTGTAACTCTGAAAAACACATGATCCTCCTAGGGCCAACACCCCAGAAATAGCAGTACAAACTAGTTTATAGCCATGCTGCTAATGGCTAACAGTGCACATTCTGTGAACTACTCCAGAGGAAGTCACAGAACACTGAAGAGTAGTTAATGATGCTTCAAGAATTCTCAATGCTACTTCATTTTAGAGCAGCTATTCCCTGGCTCCTCCCACTGTTCTCTAGCCAATCTCCCCTTTTCCCATATGGCCATCTGGCTGCATACATATTTTGTGGAAGGGGAAAATGGCAGCTGTAAAGTAAGGAACACCCTAGGATATCTTCTTTCCTCCCCATGTGGCCAACTGTAGCGTTTTACAGAACTTTGTTTCCCTCCAAGTCACATAACGGGACAAAGCTGACCTTGAGCCCTTTCATATGTTCCTTTCTTAGCCCCCTGTTTTTGAAAGTGTTATGGAAAAATACAATAAAGGTAGGCATATTTTTTCTAGGTATTCATAATGTTAACACTAGCAGTTTTCCAGTGCAGCCCGTTAGTCTCGCCTCTATTGATCCATCAGTGCTTGGTCAAATTTCAGCTAATACAACACAATGGTACCATTAAGACTCATATTTTTTTTTATAGCTTCAGTAAATGCAAGTGCTTATTAAAATGAGGGATGTTAAAACTATTATAGACTGACTGAGCAAATGCTGTAAACAAATTCTCTGCCTAGTTCTGTTAATTGCTTGCAAGATGATTTTCCCTTTCCCCCCAAATGCTCAATCAATAGGAGTTTGCCTGAGAAGGACAGAGGTAACACTGCATAAGGACTTAAGAATCTGGTCCCGTGTGTTTAATAATTTGGCCTAACAATAAAATAAAGCTGTACTGGATGCCATATTTCCCTAGTTCTTCTGCTATGACTTACGTACTTAGGACCCACGATTCACATTTTGATTTGAATGCGAGTTTTCCTGAGTAAGAACTAAGGCCTACATTTTTAAAAGCGATTAGTGATTTTACCTCAATTTTTTGGGTGCCCAACATCAGACACATTAGAGAGCCTGATTGGAAGCAAGTGCTGAGCACTCACTGTCTGAAAACCAGGCCCATTTAAAGTGACATCACTTGGGCACTCAAAAATTTGAGGCAACCAAAATCTCTAGTCACTTTTAAAAATTCAGGACTAATAGTCTTGCCCAGAAAGTCTGTGGCAGAGCCAGAAATAGAAACTACATCTCCTGCAGCCAAGTCTAGTGTCGTAACCATCAGACCAACTTTAAGGCATAAGATAAATGCTTCATTTACAGATCCAAGGTGGGTGAGAGAATATCTGCTGCTGAGAGAGACAAGACTTCAAGCTTCCACAGAGCTCTTCTTCAGGTCTGGGAAAGAAACTCAAGAGTGTCACAGCCAAAACAAGGTAGAACAGATTGTTAAGCGTGAGGGATTAACACACATTGCAAGAGACCATTCAAGGTGAAATGAGGAGTTAACATCTCTTCAGTTGTCAGACAAAGGAGAGTTAGTGGGTTACAGCCTGTGTAATGAGCCATAAAATCCAGTGTCTTGATTTTTAGGGCTTGTCTACACCACGCAGCTTTTAGTGACAAGGCTGTGTACGGCCTTGTCACTAAAAGTCAGTGTGTGTAAACGCTCTTTTTCGGTACTTTGTCAGCACTTTTGCTGACAAAATACTTCCAGCCCCGTGAGCGGTGTTAGCTTTGTCGTCAGGAAAGCCGCATTCACACTGCCACTTGCGTCGGCAAAACTTTTGTCTTTTGCGGGGGGAGGCTTTTTTAAGTACCCGTGAAAGACAAAAGTTTTGTTGACAACTTCGCAGAGTAGGCAACGGGGTTTGTTACAGGGATTGGTTCCTAGGTTAGTGTTTCTGTGGTGTGGTGTGTAGTTGCTGCTAGGGTAACCAGACAGCAAGTGTGAAAAATCGGGATGGGGTGGGGGGTAAGGAGCCTATATAAGAAAAAGACCCAAAAATCGGGACTGTCCCTATAAAATCGGGACATCTGGTCACCCTAGTTGCTGCTGAGTATTTGCTTCAGGGTGGGGGACTGTCTGTAAGTGAGGACTGGCCTGCCTCCCAAGGTCTGTGAGAGTGAGGAATTGTCCTTCAGGATAGGTTGTAGATCCTTGATGATGTGCTGGAGAGGTTTTAGCTGGGGGCTGTACATGATGGCCAGTGGTGTTCTTTTATTTTCCTTGTTGGGCCTGTCTTGT